GCGATAGCAGAATCCCGCCGCACCTGCGACGACGGCACGTTGCAAAAGGTGAACTCTTCGTCGTATGCTTTCGAGCAGAGGTACAAGGCGCGCGTCTGCCTCGTCGCCAAGAGCGTCGTGTACGTCGTGTCGATCGAGCAGTCGCCGAGGCGCTGGTGAAAGCTCAAGGACGTGAGCCGCGTCGGGTTGATCACGAGCGTGAGGAGGACGAGGATGCCGGCGTAGAGAAACACGGCTTGCACCAGTGCGTGGTCGTACCACGCACTGGTCCACTCGCCATCATAGACCCACGGCGGAATCTGGGGCGGTCCCAAGTCGCCTACAGGTCGTCGTTGGCATCCGAGGACGATGCCTCGCATTACTACCTCCGAGGCGATCACACGTCCAAATGATGGCGATGCTGAGCGCTACAAGCGCGAGCAGCAAAATCTAGGACAAGACGCATGAGGATGTTAGAAACCTGCAGCAGGAAGAGTGTACCTGGGGCTGGATCAAGAGCAGGTCGCAGACAAGGTGGAATAGCATGGCAAAATAAAACACGGAGAGCGGAATCGACACCAAGATCGACGCGATCGGGTACATGTGCTCGGCCACGGCTTGCTCTTCGTGGTACACGTGGCCTTCGAGCCCCAGCCTATCGCCGCACATACTACATCATAATGTGGCAATGACGAGGGGATGGTACGAGATGGCGCCCCAGAGCGTCGAGTAAAACGCGAGCGCCGACGCAATGTGCGCAAGCAAGATGGCGATCGGAATCGAGAGGAAGCGCTCTTTTAGCGTCGGCTCCGTGTCGTGGAAGGTCCAGAAGATGAACTTGGGCCCCATGAGCTCGAGTGGGAAATTGAGGCCCACGACGATGACGACAAAGACGCAGGCGCTCGCATAGTCTTGGAGATGGAGTCGTTGGGTCGTAATGTAGGCCCTACACCGTCCTACTGAGGCACATGCTTCCATAGTGTATCAAGCTGTACACGTAGTAGAAGAGCGTATGGAGCACGACGAGGTACAGAGGCAAGTGGCCTCCGCCAAGCATGATCTAGACGCGCATGGTAGCACTCGAAAGAGTCGTCGAGGGTGATGCGTACCATGCCTTGGGCATACCACGTGATGGTCACGTCAGCGTCGACGCGCCCAAGGCCCAGGAGCACGAGGTGGTAGACAAAGATGGTCCCGAGCACGATCATGGTACGTCGGGGCGAGCCAAGCGCATGGAGGACCATGAAGATGGCGCAAGCATACGAGATCATCTCGAGCATGAAGAGCGCTCCATTGTCCAGAAGAAGCTGCAAGGGCGAATTGATCCAAAGCACGCGGCCGAGGACCGACGCTGCTAGCGCAGACAGCATGAGCGGTCAATATCCCTTGAAAACGAATATTGAATTCGTTTCCAGGGCAGGTACGGCTCATAACACCCAACAGTACATTGACGAGCTGTTCCTGGACGATCCCAGGCAAAGGCGAGGCCGTAGCACGTTGAATGAAGTACGCAAAGTATAATTTGCGTATACGTACCGTTATCACTGATGTGAATACCTCTGGCTGGCGAAAGCGTGATGCGTTGGCCGCTTGATGCTGTTTATTAGGAGTGGTCATTTTAGACCGCCAAACAACATCATAACTGGTATTGCTCGCGCGCTGGGCGCCTTGACCCAGCGACTGGGCTCGACGGCGCTGCAGCAGCAAGCACACGGATAATAACAAAGGTGGACGCACAGCAAATGCCCCCGGCAGTTCGGAGCATCATTACATAGGGTAACTATGCTACTTAAAAATGAGAGGTTGACGTTGCCTTGCACATCAGGCGTTGCAGGAAGGAGCAAAGGACTCGTGCATGCGTGCCTCATAAAGGTGTTGTCGTGGCCCTCATCGAGGCATTTCGCCGTAGTCGTCGTCTTCGCAAGATCCACCAGAAACAACCAAATAGAACCACGAGCACGAGCGAGCCAGCGCCAATGGTCACGCCTTCGTACAGCGCCGTCTCGTCCGGGCTGCCAATGTCGTAGTCAAAGTAGCCGTTGCCGGAGGAGCCGTCGTCGTCGGACGGGAAGTTGATGCTGCCGTCCATGCTGCCGGAGGAGCTGTCGGACGACGCGTCGTCGAGTGCTCGAAGTGCGCTAGATTGGTAGGCATGGCTGCCCGCAGATGCGCTTGCGCCGCCGAGGCTGGATCGAATCATATTCGACGCAAGATTGGCAATGGCGCAGCGCAGGACAAGGTCGCTACGTCGGTTGCAGAGTAGCGAGATCCCGTGAAGCCAACGAATGAGGCCAGGCGCGAACTCGCGGTGGACCTGTGATGCGATTGGTAGAAAAACACTCAATTATAGCCACTTGGCTTGCGTTATCGCGCATTTCCATAGCTGATTGGTGTGACTTTTGTCCATCTGCTCACACCAGCTGGCGACGACGAATATGGAGCTGCAGGCGTCAACACGGACAAGGCGTGAAATCAGTCCGCTCTGTCGTCGTCGTGCGTTGGACAAATATACCACGTGGCACGTGGGTGCTTGGGCGAAGTCATCTATCCATCAAGTACCATGCAATATGTGCCAGCAATGCTTGACTGCAGGGCTTGATGTGCTGGCAGCCTGCAAGGCCAAGGTACCGAGTGGGTTGTGGGTGGGTGACACAACGAAGGGTCAAACAGGAGCTTGACGAATCGTATTCCAGTTCCTTCGACCCAATGGCGACACAGCACCAGCACGTTAGTCCGTCTTGCGGTGCTACTGATGTCAGCACGGCCTCGACATTGCGGCCGGGCTCGTATCGTCTTCTTCGGTACGATGGATGACAATCATGGCGATCACTGGTCAAAGAGTTGCTCGAGCCAATGGTGCATGAGGTCTTGTTGCATCAACACTATTGTCAGGGCAGGGTGCAGGGATATGATAAAGACCACGCAGGGGACTTAAAACATTCGTCAGTTTGGCGAGGCTGGAATCGGGCATGGTGCTCTTGCATCTCGCGGTCGATTTACAGCGATGGCTGACATTACCGAGTAACGTTAATCGGCTCCCGGCGTGGGAGGGTTAATGAGGAAATTGAATCCAAATTCTTGGGGTATCTCTGAGCCAAACGATACGATGAGAATGCAATTGCGCTGGAATGACGAGCTGTGTACGTGATGTGCACGTGCCAGCTTTGACGAATGTGCACTTTAGGAAGGTGCAGATGCTGCACGAGGTTTCGAGCGACGACAACAGTACATGTTGTGTTTGAGACGGCAAAGCTTGTGATGTCGTATTCCCAATACGCCTCAAACGTGTCCTCGTGCTCTATGTTCGTCTCTTCCACTGGTTTGCTCTATGGACAGTACAGTAGCTGTGACGTCGCGCGATTCTTTCAATCATACTACCGCGCACGAAGCAGACAGGCATGGATCTGTCAAGTGCAAACTCAAAGAGCAAACGAGCATTTGACGCAACGGAATACATGTAGAGAGCGCTCGTGATGGTTGGCTTGGACACGTTGTGAGAGGCCGCACGGTGCAGTCGTCGATCAAGAGCGCATGTCGGCGGTCTATCGAATCTTCCATCCGAGCACGTGCTGTGGAAGAGGCTGGCGCTCGTCGAATCGTTTACGGCGCACTGGGATGGGTCCATTGTTGCATACCCGACTCGTGGAAGTAGCAGACCTTTCGATGGTGCGGCGAGTAGCGAGCTCGCCACCCTGGCGGCAGGCAGCATTCTTGCACGTCCACGGCAATCGCCATGCGGTTCATGTCGAGGGTCATTGCGTCCGACTGCAGCGCGCTCGCAGGTCCTGCGCTCACGCTCGCACTGAGAGACGAGCTGCCGACGGCTGGCCGGATGCGGACGTCGACCACGTCCAGGAGCTCGGGCAGCGCGGCCGACATGTTCATGTTGCTGCTCATCTTGCAGCACGAATTATGGGTTTCGAACATCCTGGCTCTTCCGGATGATACATCCGGATGCCGTTGAAGGTTTCAGCGTGTAAATTTGGAGTCGCCAAGATCGCCATGGCCGCGATCGTTACCACGCGGCTCAGCCAGAGACGTGCTATCGTTTAGCTCGAGCGCTTCGGCTCCTGGGTCGACCCAAAAGTCTGTTCCACACTCTGGTGTGTGTGGCCAACATGTCTTGCAACGCAGCCCCGCCAGGCGCAAAAATGACAAGGTATCAGTAAGTTAAATGGTACAACATATCGCACGACGTCGGCTACGCAATGCTAGCTGGTCTTTGCCCGCTTCGCCTCTGGTACGACAGACTCATCGTCGTCGTCGGGCTCGGGGCTATGAAGCACCTCGTCGACGCCGGACGGGCTCGGCGACCGGTCTCGCTTCTTCGTTTTCCACAGGTGTGCGGGAAGAAGCATGCGCAGTTGGCGCTGGCACTCTGCGACGTCGTCGCTTTCGGAGTCCATGTCCATGCGCTTCAAGTACGCATCCAAAGGCGCCTTCGAGAGCCCGTGCACGTCGTACGCGAGGTGCGTGATCGCGATCGCCGCAATGGACGGCAAAAACCCGAGCTGGCTGTACGCAGTGTGGTGGACGGCGGTGATGTCGGCGCAGATCGGCGATACGAGCCGCGTTTGCTGGAGGTCCTGCAGAAACGTGTCGATGTACATGGCGGGCACGACCGCATGCAGCTTCCATTGGAGCGCCGATAGCATGTTGGCCTCCATGCGCGTAATGTCCTCGACGGTAAAGACGTTGGCCGCAATTTCCTTGGCTTCGTCCATGGAGATGCCGTCCTTCTCGTGGAACTTGGACGCGATGAGGATCGCGACGAGGCCCACGAGCTGCAGCCGGTGCGGCGTCGACGCGTGCTGCGAGAGGTACCGGTCGAGGTAGTTGATGGCGACCGCGGTTGTGATGCGCGAAAAGTGAAACTCGAGGGCCACCTGCGGCGTC